ATCCTTTATTCCCTGATTCCCTTGGCCTTTTATTGACCACCTCTCTAAAGAATCATGCATCTCTATGTTAATTTATAAAAAAAAAAATGTTAATTTAAATATCACTATTTAACTATTTAATTTTTATTTTCAATTTATCAGTTCTAAGTGTGGGTCCCTATTAATGAAACTAGGATCAGGCTCGGCAAATTATGCCCTGGACCCGTGTCCACAATGAATTGTGGACACGGGCCCAAAACGGCGTCGTTTTTTAAAAAAAAACGCGTCATTTAGTTTAAAAAAAAAAAAATCGAGCGCATTTTGCTGTTAACGGCGTTATTTTTTTTGGATTATGAATGTACAGTTATGCCGTTATGAATGTACAGTTATGCAATTATGAAATTATGAACACAGAGCTCTAATATTATGAACTTACAATTATGAACATATAGTGATAAAATTATGACCATGGAGCTTTAAAATTGTGAATATAGAGCTTCGAAGATTATGAATGTACAGTTATGGAGTTATGAATGTACAGTTATAGAGTTATGAATCTACACTTATGAAGTTATGAATCTACAGTTATGAGATTATGAATCTACAGTTATGGAATTATGACTGTACAGTTATTGATCGAATTATGAACAAAGAGCTCTGACATTATGAACTTACAATTATGAACATATAGTGATAAAATTATGAACATAGAGCTCTAAAATTGTGAACATAGAGCTTCGAAAATTATGAATGTACAGTTATGAATGTACAGTTATGGAGTTATGAATGTACAGTTATAGAGTTATGAACGTACAGTTATGGAGTTATGAATGTACAGTTATTAACATATAATAATAAAATTATGAACATATACTCCTATAACGAAGCGGTCTGAAATTAAAAAAAAAAAAAAAAAAAAAAAAGGAGATAACAGTGCTAACGGCACTGTTACCCATGTCCAGCATGCATGTTGGACACGGGTCCAACGCATAACGATTGATCAGGCTCGAGCTCGGCCAAGAATGAGTTATTTCATAGTACAGTGGTGAGCGGACATATATATCTATATCTTTTTCACAGCCAATGGTTCGTTCGAGGGCAAACGATGACAAGTTTTGTACCACACTTAAGGAAACACTTAGCTTTTTTGTTGGACAAAGCCAATGTTTCGTCCGATGGTGAGTGAGGTCGGATCTTTTACCACCCTCAGGAAAATAATCTTTTTTTTTTTTTTTTTGGACATGCAGGCTTAAGCTTGGCCAAGAATGAACTCTTCTATTTGGTGGTGAGTGAGGTGAAACCTCGTACTATCCCAAGGGACTTAGCTTTCTTTACCATTGAGGCCAACCAATAATGAGCTCTTTCGATCCGAGGAAAGAGTTTTAACTTTTCTTGATCTAGGTTTGTGCTAAGTCAATGATAAGTGTTTAATTACACTTATTTATAATATCATCATATATGCTATAATTTTACTTATCTCTTTTTTTTTTTTTTGATAAATTAAAACATTATGCTTAATTCATTAATATTTTATTTTTAGGATTTCTAAGCAAATGTGGCAAAACATGTACTTTTTGGCATATTGAGAATATTTTATAAATATCTCTCATTTGAGGTCTAATTGAAGTGGTTCAAGTGTCCATGGAAAGTTATAAAAATCTCCATCAACTTTTATGTTCATAGTTTTTAGAGGTTTAAGACAAATAAAGGTAAAAAATGTAGACCTATTTTGACACACCTAGAGATATGACCTTGTAACATGCTGATACTATTTTGGTAATATCTTTTTCATACAAAGTCCAATTGAAGTAATTCAAGTTTTCATAGAAAGCTAAGACGATCCTATACAACTTTCATGTTCAAAGTTTTCAAAAATTCAACATAAAATATAGATAAATACCCAGGTAGATTTTGATACAACTGTATTGCAGGGCGTGCCTATTGTCGTGACTCTATTTAAGTAGCATTTTAAACCCTTTTGGGGAAGTTAAGAGGCTTCAAAGAGTTTAACCAAGACACTTTGGGGAATTCAATCAAACTCTGGGAGGTACCTATATATATCCTTTGTATATATAGATGCCACATGATTGAAAAGAGTGGATTGCAACCCTAGAGATAGGATGCGATCAATCATTCAAGTTAAATCGTTCAATAGAACTCACAAATCTTAATGTAATCTTTAGGGGCCGGGCTTCAATTTAGAAAAGATTTTGATAATTCAACCGGGGATTAAATGTTAATACTCTTGAGAAAGTAGTGTTGTAAAAATCGGGCCTAGGCGACGATTAATCGGAGCCTAGGTGCTAGGTGCTCGGCCACCTAGGCGCCGATTAATCGCTCTAGGCGCCCTAGGCTGTCCCCAGGCGCCTAGCGATTTTTTCAACCTTGTGAGAAAGATATTAGCATAAATTAGGAGGTCTCATAGATTAAGACATAAACAATTGTTTTGGTCATTTATTTATTGTGATAAATGAGGTCCTAGGGGAATTCATAGGTTCATGTACAATTTATTTACTAGTTGGTTTCCTCAAATTTGTTTTAGATTCTCCTTGTTTGTCTTTGGTTATTGATTAGCCTTTTATTTTATTTTAATTGATCCCTATTAATATATTTATGACTAGATAATAAAATAATAATTAATACTAGTTCTCATAGTCCCTATGGGATACAACACTCGTTACCCTATCTTTTATTATACATAAAAAACGATAGATGCACTTACCTAATTAGATTTGTATAGTTTCAAATCATGGATCAATCAAGAGTGAGTTTTTCCATTAACTGGCGAGCGAGGTCGAACCTCGTAACACCTCTAGAAAAAAACTTAAAAACACCCCTAGGGAATATATGTTGGAAAAATAGCATTAAAATTAAAATGGCATGTTAAGTGATTATTTTATGGTACAATTATCAGTGGGGTCCACTTCCGATTTGGGTCGGGTCAAAGTGGATTCATGTTCTTCGTAGTGAGACGAAGAGATTGATATATTGTACGCTCAAAACGGATAATGGGTGAATGAGATATTGATTCTCAAAGTAGACCCATTGAGTTAGAAAATGAAGGGAAAAAGGTGAGCTTTTGTCCCACATTGGTTTGGGAAGAGGATTTGCCCCACTATTTATACAAGAGTCTTTTAAAGGCTTACTGAATGTATTGCATAGAGGCTCTCTTTCGCGCGCATGGGGTGGGGTGCAAATCAAATCCCAAACTAAGATCGAAGAGGCCTTGATCCAAGCCCCTGAGCTCATGTGGGAGGACGAAAGACCTAGCTGTTGGAGATGCAATTCCATCCGTTACGGAATTAATTTTTGTATTAATTCCAATTCTAATTTTGAATTAAACCTCAACATAATGGCCTTGCTGTTTCAGATGTTACAAGGCTAGTGTTAATGGCCTAGTTAAATGCTATTGATATCCTACATCCCTATATAAGAAGGAGTGTAGCAGCAGTGTTTTTTCACGAACTACGAACAACACACACAGAAATTTTAGTTTTCTTCTCCAAAACTCTACTCCTACTCTTTCTTGAAGTTGTGTTATGTCTGTGCTCCAGTTCGCTGGGTTCATTCGTTTGGGTGCTTAAACGTCGAACCGCAGTATATTTTATCCTGGAAAGCCTAGGCCACAACGCTCCTTGCACTTTTGGGAGGTGACAAATAAAGTTTTAAGGTAAAAGGCACTTCGCGTGACTCGTAATTACGATCATTATTCCTCTTTTTCTTTTGCTTTTTGGATTATGCTCTTAAGCATCAAATCCTTTCTCCTTGCACTATATTTCGTATATAGCTGTTGATTGGAATTATAATCTAAGGGTTATTAGTTCCAATTTTGGTTGATATATATTGATATATCTTTTTCCATAGATATATATGTATATATAACTTTTGGGTCCGTTTTATATATATTTGTGTGTATATATATATTTCGGATATACATATCCAATAATATTTTATATATTTTCGTGTGTATATACAAATATTATTCTGGAATATTAAATTGACATTTGGTTCATTATTTCCAACAATTTTAAAAACTTATTCTGTATAATAATGAACAAGTCGGTGGATTCCAAGAGTATTGGAATTGTGAATGTTGCTTGTGGTGCACATTCAAATGGTTGGAATGGCAACGATGTTGGACATTCTAAGATGCCAGTTGATGGCAGCAACGTTGGAAATGATGTTTCCATGGGAGTTGCTAAATCACACGATGGTGCTCCGGAGAACTTTGGTTCACGAACTAGGAGACCAGTGTCTAGTGGCACAAAATTGGTACCTATTGTGTTGCTTAGTAGATCGGCTAAAAGCCACAAATGATCCAATGATGGTGTAATCACTACATGGTCTGAGGACTATTGTAGTGTGACCAACGCCTTCAACGATAATCAAAGGACACTAGTACAAAACTGCACATAGGCAACCATTGTAAAAGACACTAGGCGACCATTGTACAATGGTCGCCTATGAGAGGCTCGCAAAAAGCCATGGACTTTATGCAACCATTTCTAAATGGTCACGCATTGTCAGTAATACGCGACCATTCTTGACTAAGAATGGTCGCGTATTGTTTTTTTTAAAATTCAAATATAATACGCGACCATTCTTGGGTAGGAATAGTCGCGTATTGTCCTTTTAAAAATAAAAAAAAAAAATTAAAAAATTTAAAACTATATTTATTTTGCACCATGCAATTTTCACACACCCATTATGAAATTACTACCGTACTTGTAAAAAAAATAAATGAAATTACATATTTATAATTTTAAATTAAAATTAATTGAAAACTACAAAAGAAAAGAATGAAATTACAACAATATGAGATAACTTTGGGACTATAAAGGATAATTTGCACACACTAGAAAAGGCAATGTACCTTAGGAACCCTGTGCATAATTGTTTTTTTACTCTACTATGAAGAATTGTATACACACTGGGATGGTGAAATAATTCTTGGCTACAGTGGGGATGGGAAACACCGTGAGCTTTCTAAAGCTATGTAGGTATCATGTACAATATATTATAATACAGTGCACAAAGTATTTTGCATAAAAGAGTACTTTCCTTCCTTAAGGTTTAGGGCTTTAGGCAAACAAAATTATGTGCAGTACCACAAACTTGTGGACATATAAAGAGGTAGAGACATCATGTAAAGTCAATAGTAACAACCATCTAATCTAAAGCATATGCAATCAAAAACAAGTTTAATAACACTATCAAAAGTTCAGATATGTAAAGTGAACAATAACTACCCTCTAATCTCAGGATTGCCTTGAAATTTCCATATATGTCATTAATGGAAGTCAAACTTACCCTAGATTGATAACATTGGCTTGAATACCTTATATTTACAGGGACAATTTGCATTTGAGGGACACTTTGATGCTGCTGTACTTGGTATGCTGAATTCGGAGGGGCTAATAGTACACCCTTAAAATCCGCTCTCAAACTTCCCATCAATAACACCGTACACTTCAGAACCTGAACCTGCTGATGGTCTAACAGTTTCTGCAACCACAAACAACTTGGAGTCATTAGTTTTTGTCTGTCTCACAATATAAGAGGATCTAAGATAACAAGAACCCCAAAAAACAACGGATTCTATTTCTAACAAGTACCAGTTTTCATTAGTTACGTAGAAAAGATGCGAGGAAAAAATGACCACCTTTAGCTACAAAAAAATAGGCTCCGAATCTAAAGGTATGTGCTTTAGGATTGTCATAACCAATAAAGTAACAACATGTGGGATATGAGGTGCAATGTTCTCATTTCCAGCCTCGACCAAAGTACCAAGAAGCTGTAAACTGATGGAGGTCTCTTCTTCACCATCATTGATTCTACCCACTATAACTTGAAGAAGTGGTAACCACTCAAGTGGCATGTAGTCATTCTGCCAAGATCCAAAATGTTGAACAAGAATATGGTATTTTAATCTACATTTATATAGAGAAACATTGGTAATGCAGACTTTCTTACTTCAACAAGTTGGGCAATTGCTCCAGCAGCAGACACCCTCACAGGATAACATGAGATGTCTCTATCTGGTGTGATGAAAGCTTCCATCAGAGCAGAGTAAATATCAGCACTCATTTCCTAAAAGGGTAGTTAGAAAAGTAATGAAAATTCAGGTGCACAAAAAATGTATGACAATTAAATGATAAGAACATTCAGTGCTGCGTATTCACATCTGTCAAATCTGTGCGAAAACAAAATGAGGAACATCAAATAGAAACTAACTTCAGGAAGACAGGATGCAAGCTCTCCTAGAACCCAGTTTGCAGAGGCAATCAAATGTGGTTCTGGAAGAGGTGCTCTATACAGTGGTAGCAGCCGAGTCTGAAGAAGAGTAGCTGTATATCCAGGCTTTTGCTCCTTTAGAAACTGCAGGCATAATGCCATGTAAAGATTTCCCTATAAAACTCAGTAAACTAATTCTAAATAGCATGTACTACATAGAAACTCATTACATCTAGAAGGCTGCTGTATGCCATCAGAACACCATAATATCTGCCAAAAATTCAAAAAAAGACAGATTAAAGTTGATGATATATAAGCCAACTCATGCTGATGCATATAAAAAACACACCTCTACTTTTAAATTTTAATGGCATTGACACCATAATTATTATGACACTTTCGATTTTGAAGGTGAAAATTTCTTTCAACTTACTCATTTACTATCTTTATGTTAGCATCAGAGGGAATAGGAAACTTTGACAAGAAGGGAAGCACTAGCAGCTCTCCTATTGACCTGCGAGTTGTTTTTTTGCTCTTCTCTCCTTTCTTACGTTTTGATGAATGTGAAGAATTAACTACTGGAGGTCCCTGGAGGAAAACAAAAAAGGCTATTTCTAAGTATTTTGATAAACCAAGCAGCAACATAGTATTTGCAGACAACTAACCTTTGACATTGAAATAACACCAAGCAAATTTAAGGCACTTTTTCTAGCCGTGAACAAGTCTTCTCTCCATCCAGAAATTTCTTCCTATGGAGTTATGAAAACACACAATAAGACAATACCTTGAATCCAAGAATATAATAAATGATGTAAACAAAATAGCATGTACATACAAGCTCAGAAGGAAGATTTTTCCTTATATACTCATCTGGATCTTCTTCCCACTCTGCCATGTCCTACATCCAAAATTTCAAGTTAGTTATGTAAATAAGCAATGATCATACCTCCATCTCCATTTTGTAGGAAGCCAATCTAGCCATTACCACAGCAGCAGTTTCTTGATCAAAACCTTGTACCAATTACTACAAAAACAAAAAGGCTAGTACTTCAGCATAAGCCTGTAGACATTTTCTCTACACAAAATTCAGAATGTGCATGTATAGTGGAAAGAAATATATTATTTCTCAATATCTCATGAAGGCAATAAAAAAAGTATGCATTAGTTAAATTCAGGGAGAGTTCAACACATCTACTAGTAGTTTAAATGACAGATATCCAAAAGAAAATAACACTTTGGGAAGAGGGGGTAATGGTCTGATCAAAACCTTGTATCAATTCCTACAAAAACAAAAAGATAGTACCTCAGCATAACCCTCTACACATTTTCTCTCCACAAAATTCATAATGTGCATATGAAGTAGAAGGAAATAGTGCATTTCTCAATATCTCATAAAGGCAATCACAAAAGTATGCATTATCTAAATTCATAAGGGTTCTACATATCTACTGCTTGGTTAAATGGCAGATATCCAAGAGAAAACAGCACTTTGGGAAGAGGGGGATAAAGGTTTCTGCTAGACTGCTACTAGTTAACTGCAAGATATCAAAATAAAAATAAAAAAAATAAAAATAAAAAAATAAAAATAAAAAAATAAAAAATAAAAAACAGCATTGAGGAGATAGAAGAGTTCTACTATCTCCAAAGAAAGAAGAGCATTTGGGGAGAGGGAGATGTCTCAGAATTTTCATTAATTCTTCAGCACCGAAATGAACATTTACCAGTAACTGTTGCCTCATAAAGCATCTAATAACAGACTAGCATTAATTCTTCAAGATGCGTTAGTCACCTGCATTCTACAAAACCTTTCAGCATATATTGGTAAAGCAGAAAACTGATACATAAACAGAAAGTAGAATATGTCAATCACAGAAAATTTAAACAACTGAAGTCCAAAACTATTTCAACAAAAAATAAATCTCATTAGGCATGCAGGCACTAAAAAGATGGATGAGTTTACTAATCAAATTAGTACCTTGTAAGAAATTGTATGCACAATTGCGAATTTGTACCACCAGAAGGGTCTGATTTTTCACTTGATGAGATATCAAAGAATATAGTGAAGCAAGTAGTTTTGTCGAGACCACAAATCTTCCAAGCTATTGTATTCCCCTCCCCAATTACTGTGTTGGCAATAGCAGGTCCTTTCTGTCAATATTCAGACATTAATATCAACCTGCTTAACGGCAATCATTTTCCTAATAGGTAATACACTAAAGTTCACTAAAGTTTTGCCTTAGACGAAAAAACAATACTATCTAATTTCCAGTAGCTAGTGAAGGTAAGTTCATAAGCACTAGATAAGCTTACCTTTTCTAAAGTTGTGCATGGCCAAATGATCCCTTGGACTTTAATATCCTTTGAGCAGTTGATCTCAATTCTACCACTGGATGAAATTGATGTGTTAGAACTTCAAATGGGTTATATATAACAGGAGTAGATGAATATTGCTACCAATAAAAATTTGTCATTAGTCCACCAATGATAGCAAAAATGTCAAACAAAATATACCCAAATGTGCTAATTGTCTAATTCACATACTTGAACTGATATCCATGATCTTCCAAATAGATATGGTAAATTTGATTGTCATAACCAAGATGTCAACCTACTCCACATTTCTGTTTATATGAACTCTATACTTTAGTTTAATTCATGGCTTGCCTCTTATATTAAACCCAACATTTCAATCCCTAAATTTCTCAAGAATTTTTTACTAGTTAAGGAAACAAAGAAAAAAACACTTTTAAATCTTTTAACAATATAAACTAGTGCCAATCAAATTTCTGAAATCACTCTTGGTGTTGGAAAAATAGAAAAGTTAATTAGATCATGTCAAGATACTCACTTAAATGAGAGACCAAGAGACTTTTCACCATTGTCAAATACACGCTTAAATGAATCCTTGAAAACAGGATGACCAAAACTTTCTGCTAGAACTACCAGTCCTCCAGTTTTTTCAATCAGCATAAACCAAACATTAATCATTAGCCAAGACACATGATAAGGTTTCGTACCTTAATCAATGTTTAATAATGTTTATGTCTAGCTTGTAGCAACTTATGATGATTGGTTGGTAGATGCAAACAATTAAGTACAATGAGGAAATGTATGTTTTGTCACCTTTCTGCGGAGTTCTTCCATATGTTCCATCATAACTTGAGTCTGCATTAGTGATGGATCAGATACAACAAATTAAAGACCGATTGTAATAATATATAAGTAATCAAATTAATCTATGTATCATCATTTCCCGAATGGACATTGAAGAAGATGAGGGAATATGTTGGTGGAATTCATGAAGATGAAAATTGGATTAATCTTTTTACCTTCTTTTGCCTAGTCTGTGAAAGAGCATTTTCAAGCTGTTTTTCCAGATTCTGAACTTTGATGCTGAGTGGCCCAAGATCTTCTCCAAGTAGATGCCTGCAACCATTGCAAATCGATTCAGTAATCGATCTCGATGCCTTTTCATCAGCAAGAACCACCAGAAATCAAACATTATTAATGGAAGCTAATTAAACTAGATCGATCGAGTTCATGTTCCTTACCTTTGAGTTCTTTGAAGAGATTCATACTTGGCCTTCAGTTTTATAACTTCATGGGACCAGTTCTGTGCAACAAAAATGACAATTACCTTCTCATCATGTACTGTCATTTCATGTTGAATTCTTAAACAAATTAATTAAACCTGTGTTTCTCTCTCAATGGAGTTTTCTTGAGGATTAAAGCTGCAATTTTCATAGCGCTCAAGCGTTTTGGTGATGCCATAGCTGCAATAACAAGTAGTGTATATGTATAGATCAATCCATAACCAACATCTTACCCTTCCATTATTGCTATAGTGTCGTGGCTATGGAATTTCGCTCTCAAATAATGGGTAATTAACTTTGTTACTGATGTTTCAATTTATAAAGTACTCCAAAGGACATTAACAAACAGACAAATAATTGCTCCAGGAATGAACAAAAAGAATCTGACAGGTAATCCATGAACAACGAAATGACAAATCCCTACTTCATTGAACCATTTATTATTATTATTATTTATAATCATCAATAATCAATAATAATATTGAAAAACAAATATATAAAATATAATATATATTATTAACAATTAAAAATAAAAAATAAAATTAAAAAACAAACTAACCTGCAGATCGGCGGCTGGGGAGGCGGCAGTGGCGCCGGCGGGGATGGCGGCTGGTCGTGGTGGGGGCGTGCGACGTCGCGGTGAACAAAGCAGACGGCGGTGGGTGGCCGTGGCTGTGGCGTGTGGCGGTGCGTCGCGAAGCAGACGGCGGTCGGTCGGTCGCGAAGCAGACGGTGGTCGGCGGTGCGTCGAAGATCGGTGAACGAAAGAGCGGTGGGTGACCGGCGGCGTTGAAGATCGGAGCAGATCGATCGACGTACGATATGTTGTATGAGAGGATGATGATCGAGCGCGCAGATTTGATCTGATCTGATGGAGTGATGGGGGTATAGATCTAGGGTTAATATTAGGCTACCATTTCAATTAGAAATGGTTGCCTATTATAAAACAAATTCTATTTTATGGCAACCATTTCTATTAGAAATGGTTGTCTATTATAAATCAATTTTTTTTAAATAAATACAAAATACAGTGGGCAACCATTACAACTAATAATGGTGGTGGATTATTATTCACTTATTTACAAAATTGCCATCGCGAATTTTTGGGCTAAGATTAGACAACCATTCTTTCAACAATGGTGGCCTATGGTCAATCTTCTATGTTCAATTTTGTACTAGTGGGAAAGGCAAACGAAAGTTTAGGTCTGGAGATGATTAAAGGAAGAAGTGAGCCGTCACTATGAAGCGAACCGTCATCCTGGTGAAAACGTTGCGGACAACTTCGCTTGGGTTAAAGAATGTGGATGGTTGGACGAGTGAGGTCAAAGCTCATGTGTTGAATATTTTAAATAATATTCTGAGTACGATTATATAAGCTTGGTTCAACTAGTTTGAAAATTTGGTTGATTTGTTTTTGTTAATTGTGTTAAAATTAACTTGATAAAAAATTTTAAATTATACTAGTATGAAATTTATTTGAGACAAATAATGATTTGTTGGATAGTGCATCTGTCGCACTAACGGAGAGTGCAAGATAAAATTAGCACTGTATTGCTAATTAACTTAGCACTAATTAAGTAATATTTAAACACAACAATACTAGTATTTAATAACACGAATGATAGTGCTTGATAGTACTAACGAAAGGTTGCTGTGGGTTTATAATTTAAAGCAATGGAAGATTGCTTTGAAATCAGTGCTTTAAGTTGGAGCAATGATTCGTGCCTCATTCCTATGCACTGATTAGTGCTTCAAGTTTCGGAAGCATTGGTTCGTGGTTTTGACCTTTCGGTCAATCCTGAATGGATTCGTAAGTGCTGATCTATTTGCACCTACGAGATGTGCTAACGTGTAGCACATGCTTATTCCTTATAAGAATAAAAGAGAAAACTAAATTAATCGCGGATTAATGCGGTTACGAACGATCGATGTTGATGCGGCCCAACATAATGAAGATCCATTAAGAGTACAAATTGGGTCAATCACAAGATCCAAGACCCAAATCAGCTTTATTATTTGTGGTCATCATTATTTTAAATTGTTTGGAATTAATGAGAAAACACTAGTTTGTATTTAGAAAGGATTCCTTAAATCCCTTTCGAAATACGACTATATTGACTTGCTTTCTAGATTAGGTTTAGGACTCTTTTTCGCATTGTATTTAGGATTACAATGCTGCCCTATACCTATAAATAGGGCACATCCATATCAGTTTTAGGGAGGCTTTAATTCAATAAAATTCTTAAGTTTTTCTTTACACTTGTGTTAGAAACCTTATGGCTAATTGTGAACTCAATTAGTGGCTAGTCGTGGACTCGACTAGCAAATTGATTCGTGGACTCGAATCAATCTTCCTTTCTACAACCTTAGATTTAGGTTCGTGGACTCGTTCTTGAATCGAAGGAAACTAGATCCGACTCTAGTTGATTGAAGATTGCAACATCGAGGTACTTGAAGCTACATGGGATTCTTCAAAGTCTTTGAGGATTCGGGACTAAGGGTTTCTCGTGATGTTTAAGGTATTTTGATCCATCTCTATCTTTACTTTTGAGAGCATTCTTGGGACAATACTCCATTTTATTTGAATCTTGGATTAGGTTCATATCAGATGCAGTGAATATAAAACAACTATTGGTGATTTTTGCGCAAGCGTTGTATCGTACTCGAGCGTACGACACGATATTAACCTCAATCGAATGTTGTTGCCGAACATAAAATATCAAGACGTTGATAAGTTCGGGTCTACCTCAAAGTGTGTGTGGTGAGACAATACTTTGGACAAGTAAGTACCTTTTAAATAAGGTTACCCGCATGAAATTCTTATGAATTGTGGGTACGTAGGAAGTTTTCCTACTAATGCCTGAAATGTGGGGGTGTCTTGCCAAAGTTGTGTATTGGTGTAACACCCCGTGTTACGACCCCTAAGATCAATTAAATCATTTAATCAATTATCCAAAAGAAAGAATTAAATCACAATAATTAATTAGGAGGCCCACCATAGTCCACGGGCCCTTATCCCTAAACCCAATCCCTAGTCCCAAAAGAAATAGAATTAGTAAGCCCATAATACTAGTTCCTAACTAGGACTCCTAAATATATAAATAGGGGACTTAAGAGGCACCTAGAAACCCCCCCACCACAATAAACGCCCACCACCCCAAAGAGCTCCAAGAATCCCCTAGAAGAAATCAAGAAAGCAAGAAAGCTTAGAGAAAGACCCTTCATAGCCAAGGAATTAAATAAAGGCTAAGAGGTAACCCATGTCTCAACAAAACCTATTTTCATAGTTATGATTCCCCCTTAGGGTTTCCCCATATTATTGTATATTGCGGATTTGTGATGATATTATTGATGATTGATGTGATGATCCCATGGGGGATCTTGGTAATCTTGATATTGGGAGATTCTCGATAGTTATGGTGTTCTTGATGATTATATGGAGCTCTTGATGATTATATGATGTTCTTGATAGTTGTGTGTTGTTCTTGATGCTTACGTGTTATTCTTACCGAATCTTGCAATTAGAAGACGAACCGTATTCTTGTTGATATAAAAGTGACTAAAACCCTAGGTTGTATCATATGATATTATTCTTGGTTTATCGGGTGGGGAAATCGCATGTTTGGGTGTTGATTATGTTTAGAAAAGCATGATAGGTTATGTGCCGTTCGTTTCTCGTATTTGATCCGTTAATTGTCTACGTGTTGTCGTTAATTGCGTTGTAAAGTGTCTAAGCATGGTTTCGGGTTCCATAATGGTTCCCGGGGCGAAACTGTGTGATAAGAGTCAGTGGGGGGTAGGGGACCCGCCACCTACCCACGGCCGGAAAACACATCTCCGGCAGCGGGCGGCCGGCGGGCGGGCAGCTGCCCGCCGGCGACCCGCTGCCCGGAACAGTAATACCCGGCGGGCAGCCGGTGGGTGGCCCCCCACCCACCGGCTACCCGCTGGAAAATCATCCCCCTCGGGATCTCGGCTTCCCCGTTTGATGTTTCCCCGTCCCCCGTGGTGTCCCAACGGACTCCGTTAATCGTGCCTTTGTCTAGTTTGATATTTCGGGTACCGTTCGTAGGTTTATGAGTCTATTATATTGCATGCTAGTTGAATTGGTATCCCGTTGACCTAGGTAGAAGCAGTATGAACCCCTTAGGACTATTCTTAGTATGTGATGGATCACGCATAGGTTTTGTTATACGTTTTCTCCCCCTTCCCAATGTGTTAATGTGGGTTGCATGTACTTGCTATGTGTTATGTGTGCATGTAACCCCGAGTTGGTTAAGATCAATCGGGCTATACAGGCAGTCGGGTGGGCTGAGAACCATACCGGCTGTTAACCAGGCTGGTAGAGACCGGTCAGGTATATAAATATTATATAGGACTAAGTTCCACTATACGGGCAGTCGGATGGGCTGAGAACCATACCGGCTGTTAACCAGGCTGGTAGAGACCGGTCAGGTATATAAATATTATATAGGACAAAGGTCCACTATACGGGCAGTTGAATGGGCTGAGAACCATCCCAACTGTTAACCAGGCTGGTAAAGACCGGTCAGGTATATAAATATTATGTAGGACAAAGGTCCATCAGTCGGTTGCGATCGGCTCCTCCGTAATGTGAGACGGGGCAGGGTGCTGCGGGGCCGTGTCAGAGCTATATGCGCTGACCCTCATGTATGGGCATGCGATTGGTCCTGTGGCGCCAACAAAGTGTGCGATGTGATGAGATATGGATAAGTTGTGGTTATGAGTATCTTGAGGGATGGGACTATGGGATTCATGCTGGGGATTGATTATGTTGGGTTATGATTATTAATTGTGCTCAGCTTTATCTGTCTTGCTTGTTGTAGATTGTATACGCTTGTTATAACTGTTGCTTGTGTCTAGCCTTATCTGGCGAGTCATTCCCGGTTTTAAAAGCTAGAGTTCGTAGGTTACATCTTCATGTTCAAAATGGTTTTCGTATATCTATATATATACCTCTATATGTAATGTATTTCAACACGTTGGAGTGGGTTACCAGCATCTCTCGCTGAACAGATATATTTGGCTTTCAGGCACAGAAGATTAAGTCACTGGAGTGCGCTAGAGCTTGGAACATAGAAGTAGTTAGTTTCCATTTCGGCCTGCGTGCCATGTTTATGCATTCATGTCTTTGAGACATTAGTTAGTTAGCCTGTGCACCTGAGTTCTCCAGCTCAGGTGTGGCATAGCACCCCGTACACTCGTACTCTGTTTGGGATTTAATGAGATTTCACCTGTGTTTTATAAGTTTTAAATATCTTGAAAATCTGGGGTGTTACAGTTGGTATCAGAGCCTAAGTTTGACCCTAGGAAAAGACTCTTAAAGACCGGACTTTAGAACATTAGGCTTGAACTCTAGGTGCCTAGGAGCATAGGATTCAGGAATCTTAGGACGCGCAGTGAGATTGTGAAACCTACACATAACTTCCCTACACTTTACCCTTCCCCATTCTAAAACCCTCCCCCACTTATCACTTCACCAGAAGGGCGTCGAACTCTAACTTAACATTCTTATAAACGCTGACCAGAAAGACGATAGCATGGCACCGAACAGAAGGCAATCCAGAACTCCAGAGCCCGCCACAGACAACCCCTTGACCCAGACCCTACAGCAACTAACACAAGTCGCACAGGCACTAAGTGACGCGGCCCTTCGCAACAACAGGCCCCCACCGCCTCCGTCAAACGCAAACTCGGACGTCGCCCGACAAGTTTCGAATCACCGACCACCCACGTTTTCGGGAGAAGAGGATCCAGCGGTTCTGGAAGAATGGATCCGGACTCTTGATAAGATTTTTGGAGTAGTAGAATGCCCGGAAGGACGCCGCGTAGAGATAGCCTCGTTCT